TACTCAAAGAAAACGTATTAAGCGAAAAGTTATATATGAATTGTGCTCATGATGAAGCGGCATTTATAAATGTTATATAGTGGGGGATATCCCACTTTGTGGAATATAATGAGGTTCTATATATCTCCCATTTGCCTAATATTCATGCGAATTCATTGAAACAGATTCTATAAATAAGGAACTTGTGAAATATATAAAATATTACAGTAAACAAAATGAAAAATCTTAAAGATATATATAGCACGTATAAAAAACTTGAAAATATATAGAATGTTGAAGAAAAACAACTACAAGTGGTAAATGAAATATCAACATTAACTCATCGTTATACAATATATGCCTCACATAAAGCTTAAACTAATAATTCAAATGTATCCATAATAAAAAATTTAGCTACATTCCTTTCGACAATTGCTGGAGTAACTTCCTTTTTGATCCTATCCTAAAATGTCAATACAATTACCGCTGTAAATTATAAACTACTGTGAAACTAATTTTTCACTTTATGTTATTCAAACAAGTAAAAAATGTATATAATAATATTTATTAATATATGTAATTATTTTTATCTTTCTTATTAGTTTACCCCAATTTCTAACTTCGTTTCAGAAAAAGAGTAAACAAAATAAGTAATATTTATGATGCAGCTGAGAAAAAAGAGTTATTATATAATATGCATAATACTATTGATATAACCTCATATAATCAGAGATATGACATAGCATATTGAAATTCATGCGCATAAGAATTTTAGCATATCATACAAAAGGTTTATTGATATTATAATTATTACAAAGTCGTTTAAATATCGATTTAAATGTATTACGAATAGAAAAATTGGGACATCAAAAATTTGCTATCACTTCAAATATAAAATAAGGTCAATATTATCATTAAGCACAAACAGAATTTTATATAAAAATGTTCTTTAATATATTATTTTTTTTATAGAACTTGTTAAAGCAAATCATAATAAAAAGAAAAATGTCCAAAATAACCTATGCATATAAAATTGTTGAGTCCTAATATGTTACTATAAATTTTTTTTAATTGAATTAATTATTCAAACATATTAGATGGGATAAATTTTTTTTATAATTTACATAAATTATATATAGTGGAAAAAATATAAAGTATTTTAAAAATATTAATAAACATTTTAAACAAGAACATATCGATATTGTCGTTATCATACTATATTCTTAACTACTATTGTGTATTGCAGAATTATTACACTGATAGGAATAACTTACAATAAAATGTATACATTATTTAATATTTATGAAGTTATGCAGCAGTGAATAATTTAAAAAACATTAATACATATTATTATATATTAAGAAATAATTGTGCTAAATATTGTATAAACATTATTTGAGCTAACTGTTACACAATAATTTAACTTTGAGTTTTGTAAAACATTGATTACATATGAACTCTCTATAACAATGTGTCACTAATTCACCTAATTATCATCGTGTAATTTTTTTTAATATCATTTCAAATATAATGCGTATGATGTATCAGGATAATACATTGCAATAATTTCATAGTATATAAATATATTAATAATGAATAATAAAATTCACAAAGAAAAAGGTAATTAAAAAACTTATTTCATTAGAAAAATGACCATTTACAAGAATGTGTTCAATGCGTATAAATTAAAAATTTGATTAATTGTATTTTAGAACGCTATAATAATAATTTTATACTCATGTATATTATCATTTTTATTGCATTAATTGTGTGCTGATGATAAATACTAATTTAACATAAAATTAATGGGAATAAATCAATAACCAAATTGAAACTTATGGCCATTGGCACAGTTTCAAGACAACTGATTGAAAAAACAGAGTCATATTTTTTTATGTGCCTGTGTAGATATAACA